TGTATTGGTGTGCTGGAAAACCCTTGGTCCAGCTTCAACCTACTCAACTTTTCAATACTTCATGGAAATGGGGACTTGGGGTTTCATTTTATTTTTATCAACAGGTGTAGGGGCCAAATTTCATGCTTGGGTGACTGTAGGAACAGGGACAGCAAACATGGAAGAAGTCTGAAGAGCAATGTGGCCCTGAGAACTTAAGTCCTCTCAGTAGCTCAGTCTTAGGGGAAGGACTATGAGCAGACCACACTTAAGGAGTGAAGAATTGCATTCTACCTCTTTTTGGGCAGAGAATTTACATAAATCGGTTGGAATTCTGAGCAGATTAGTCTCTTCTCCATTATTTTTTTAAAAACATATCAATATGGACTCATGGATATTTATTTTATAGTTTGAGTATTTTATTTTGTTGATCAAATTGTTCCAGCTTTGACTATTGGGAGCTCTTCCAGTTGAATTGGCTTCTGTGTCCCTTTGACATACCCCTCCTCTCCCCCATTATTATGACATTTAAAAAAATTTTTTTTTAAAGATTTTATTTATTTCACAGAGATAGCAAGAGCAGGAACACAAGCAGGGGGAGTGGGAGAGGGAGAAGCAGGGTTCCCGCTGAGCAGGGAGCCTGATGTGGGGCTCGATCCCAGGACCCTGGGATCATGACCTGAGCCAAAGGCAGACGCCTAATGACTAAGCCACCCAGGAGCCCCTTAAAATTGTTTTTTAAAAGAACTCCCTTAAGGGGCACCAGGGTGGCTGAGGTGGTTAAGCATCTGACTCTTGATCTCAGGGTCATGAGTTCAACCACTGCATTGGGCTGCATGGAGTGTGGAGCCTACTTAAAAAAAAAGAACTTCCTTACTTTCTGACAGTACAAGATGCTTCAAGCTATCTTATATATTCCCTGTCTCTCCAAGAAGTCCTTGTTCCTTTTATTGGAGAATGGTATTAGAAACCAAATCTGGGGGCACCTGGGTGGCTCAGTCAGTTAAGCATCTGCCTTCCGCTCAGGTCATAATCCAGGAGTCCCAGGTTAGAGCCCCGCATTGGGCTACCTGCTCAGCAGGGAGTCTGCTTCTCCTTCTGCCCTCTGCCCTTTACTCTGCTTGTGCTCTCTCTCACTCAAATAAATAAATAAATCTTAAAAAAAAAAAGCAAATCTGGTTTCTAGGTATGCTTGTTACTACTGGAGTATCATTGTTTGTAGAACATTTCTTGCTAAGAAATTTTAAAATTTAACTTCATTCCATACTATGAAGGGGTAAAATCTGTATTTTGATGAGTAGCAGCTATTATTTTACAGTCTACTATTACAGTTTAGCTTCTTATGTCCATGGCCTGCACAAAAATTATTTTTTGACAGCTGATGCATTTCTGATGACTCTGTTAGGCTAGTCTGTCACCTACTGCCCCCCAAAGTCTAGTTATGACAGTTTGGAACTGAACATTAGTTTATTTTTCATTAAATTTTTTTTTACTTGATCAGCTATATTCTGGTCATTCTACTTCTCCCTTCTTACCTGCCTCCCCCCCCAATGGTTTTCTCCCTCCTTGTTTAACTAATACAGCAAATGTTCGAATTGTTTTGAAGCTAAGATGATGGTAGTCTGTTAGTTCCGTACATTGCCACTTAATGTTGTGGTTCAGAAGATACTGCTGAAAGAGTTTGAATACTTGCTTGTCGTAGTTCAAATGTCCGCAGGTTTCTAATCTATAAGACTAGAGCACTGCTACTGCTTCAAACCATGTAACTAGTCTGAGCTGGGTACCATATTGATACCATAAGCTTAAATGAAGGCTTGATATAAACTATACTGGTGGACTTAGTATTCTAACTAGACAAGATTCTGGAATGGATTATTAAAAGGATGTTTCCACAATACTATGAAATGGAAGTGTTACAAAGGACAAGGAATTTTTCAATTATACAAAATTTTTGATGGGATAGCTATAGCACAGTTATCTCCCCCACAGCAGCTTTGTGAACAAGATAAATGGGGCAGAATGTCAATAAATTAGGCTTATAAAGATTTCAATAACTATAGTCAAACACCAATGATTTACATGTCACTGATAATTGGGAGGACTAGAGGAGTGGGCCTAAGCACTTCAGTACATTTATCCTATTGCCTAACCAATGGGGTGAGAGTGTAGATCATGCTGGGAAATTCTGAAAATGATCAGCTTCTGCTGAAAACATTCAAAGGAGATTGTTAGTTCTTTCCTCTACGGAAATAGGATTTGTCTTTTAGAACAGGGATTGACCTATAGTAAGGATCAAAATCATCTGCATTAAGTCAACACTAGGGGAAGTACAGTATAGTATACTACATGTGTGAAAAAGGCAAAGGGTTTAAGTTCAACTAGTCAGCAGTCTAATTGAACAAATGTCAGAATAGTTAAAATAAGTTGAGACAGCATTACAAAGGAATATTGTGCTAAGAACCAGGATGGTGAGATTTCTTTTTCTTTTTTTTTAAAGATTTTATTTATTTATTCATGAGAGACAGAGAGAGAGACAGAGGCAGAGGGAGAAGCAGGCTCCCCGCGGAGCAGGGAGCCCGATGCGGGACTCGATCCCAGGACCCTGGGATCATGACCTGAGCCGAAGGCAGACGCTTAACCGACTGAGCCACCCAGGCGTCCCAGGATGGTGAGATTTCTTTAGTCAACTCTGAGGGAGGCAGACACCACCTGGGAAAGCGTTCATTTTGGAGGTCACACTTTAATGATGGTCTTTGGTGGCAAAAGGGAGTATTTTTTTTAAGGGAAAACAAGACTGTGAGGTTAGTTCAGCTCAGTTTGCACTGACTCAGTGTTTACCATGGATCAGATACTATATTAAACATTATTAACTCAACACTAAGGTATGGGCCTTGTTTGTGTGGTCCAGTAGAGACAGGCTGCTTAATACAGCTGTAAGCACAGCACAGGCTCTGCACAATGGGCTTTTGAAGCAGAGTACAATTTAGCCCAAATTGGCAGAGGCCAGGAAAGGCTTTCTGGAGAAAATGACACCTAAAAGGAGTTTGGAAGTTTTGGAGTTTAGCCAAGAAGGGCAAGAAACAATGCAAAGAGAACTTTGCCCATTAGAAACCATTGAAGGGATTAAAAAAGTTTACCCCAAAAAGCTATGATACATAGTTTTGAATATTTGGATATGTGATGAAGGATTTTTTTGTGGCTCCCAAGAAGACAAATGAAAGCAAATTTCAGGTCAGTATATGAAAATTAATTTATTTAGTAAAACCTTATAGTAAAGCACCCCAACATAATGTAAACTCAGTAAACTGATTGGTGATTGGCTGTCTCGCAGTAGGTTCACATGATCATTTCATTAACCCATAATAATATAATTCTACTTTTTTACAGTATTGTTTTAGATTCCACTCATACACTAAAACCCTGCCATAATGCTGTATCAGTAAGAGCTGTCCAAGTGAGGGGAAGCTGCATTGGGAGATGGGAAACTTGGTAACAGTATATTTTCAAGTACAGGTTGGATGATAATTTGTTGGGAATGCTGTGGAAGTGATGGTTAAATTTGGGTTAGAGATGCTCTCCAAGGTACCTTCTACCTCTGTGATCCTGCAGCCCTCAAAGAAACTATTTGATAGTTTCATGAATCAAGGCAGTGATAATGAACAAATTTATAAACCAGGGTTTTATTTATACTACAGAAAGCTTATGTTTCTTATTAAATCTGGCAGAATTCACCAACTGATAAGAAATGTAACACTATCCAAACGTACTTTCTTTTACTCATGGTTACAAATACTCTTAAATCAAAGCAAAGCTTCAAACTTGAAACTTTTTGCAGCCCAAGTTAGTATTCTAAGCCTACACATATGGCTCCCTCCCTCTACCAGTTATTTACTATAACCACCCAGGGAAATTGTATGTAATTGCTGCTGGAACCTGAGAAGGGTGCTAAGAACATGTATGAATCCTTCAAACTTTTTAGCAGCATATAATGTAGATGAAAGCAGAGGCACAAGTTTGCCACTCACTGTGCATGAAAAATGTGCCCCCCAGGAGCTACCCTTCTAGGAGTGAGATCAACTCAGGGCCCACTCAGAGCAAGGATATTAGTCTGCTGAATGGAATGGGAGTATGCCTGGGAAGTAAAGAAAGGGACACTGAAGCTTAGGTTGCAGCAAGACATTCATATAAAGGGAAATAAGTCAAAGGAAAATTAATAGCTATGTTTTTACTATGGAAACCATGTGATTACTCCTGGGGAATGTATATTCATAAATATAACATGATATATTTCATTTTAATAAAGTATACACACATTGATGGATTAAAAAAGGGAATGAAAAGACTATTAATTGTATAAGTACTTAAAAATTTCTTTTGACTTTTTTTCTGTAACAAATTACTTTTGTAATAACAAAGTCTTAAAAACTAGTCAGCAATAAAACTATAAACAGATTAAAAATTCCATTGGCAACATTTTCTTTCTTCCTGATTCTTTATAATTCAAGTTACTAATATTTTCAAATATTTCTGAGTCAAATTTATATAAAAAAGATTGCATATATGTATTCCATTTAAAAATGTTGACAAAAAACCCCACACAAAACCCCCCCCCGAGGTAAGGTGGCATAAAAGAACTGAAAAGTATTTATTAGGATGGAAAAACAAAACTTTACCATAATTACTATCATTGGAATTATAAAGTAAACGAATACATGCTTTAAGAGCATAATAACAGTGATTTGTCATTAAGGTCTTCACGTTCAATAACAGACTTAACAAACTTTGGAAAGACAATGTCACAAAATTGTTTTTAAGCACTACACATTAACCTGAAACTAATGTAACATTATGTCAACTACAGTCAAAAACAAACAAAAGAAAACACCTACATGTTAGATTATCATTAACATTGTAGACAAGGGAGGAGGGGGGTGGGAGGATGGGTTAGCCTGGTGAAGGGTATTAAAGAGGGCACGTTCTGCATGGAGCACTGGGTGTTATACGCAAATAATGAATCATGGAACACTACATCAAAAACTAATGATGTAATGTATGGTGATTAACATAGCATAATTAAAAAAAACATTGTAGACAAGGACAAAACAATATTCTTTACTCTTACCACATCATCATACTGGTCTCATACATGTTATCTATCAAATTTTAGTTTGGAAGTCAGCTCAGTTATCAATATCAAATTCTATTTTATTGCACAATGTCCAGTTCAGCAATTTTGAACTATGTTGTAAAACTAAATAAAAGCAAAAATCCTTAGGAAAAATGTACTTTTTCTTTTTCAAGAAAAATGAAGTTGGGTCTCAGCAGTTGACAGAGTTCTGTTCAAATCTACTCCAATAGAGGAACCTGTCAAAACACTTTCCTTTAACAAAACCTTTAAAAAAAATGGGAACACTACAAAAACCTGTCATCTTTGCTCTACTCAATTCTTTGTGAAGTTTATTAAACTTATTAAGGAAATAAAATGTGGAAAGATTGAAGAAAATATCTACAATAAAAAGGATAAACATTAACATTGGCCAGGGCCACGAGGGAGGGGTAATATCCCCCATAGTGTCGATAAAAAGAATAGGAACCTGTTGGTGGTTTGAGAATATTAAGTTCCATAACATCAAAAATGAAGAGCAGGTTCCATGAGCTAAAGCAGGTTCTACAGAATAGCCTGTTTGAAGGCAGTGTATACATGAGCAAAAGGATCCCTCTGATAGTCTTCCACAGATTCCAATTCTCTTGCCATCAGTCATCTCTCTGACTCTGCAACTATGAGAACATTCAATTGACAAAAGTCAAAACAGGGCATCGATATTATCAATAGTTTACAGAAGCTTCCTCTGCAAATTTCACATTTTCCAATAATAAAAATCTGCATAGAAGTTGTACTTCAAAACGCTAACAATATGCTTCACCTGAAATCTTATAGTATTTTCATGAGAAAAGCTGTCTAGTAACATAAATGGCTTCTGAATCAGTTCCACAAACAAGACAAGGACCTAAAATATCCAAACTGTTCACAGACAAAGTCCTACTGGGAAGCAAGCTTGTGATTTCAATACGGTCTTTTGCAGGATCAGTGCTGAGCCAGGAGCTTATGAGAGACTGGTGAACATTAGTCTGGCTACTAATGCTGTGAGACAAAAAAGTACTATTTCTTCCTCCTGCAAGAAAAAAAGGGGAACATATCTTTCAAGACTAATATTATGTCATAAACATCTGAAATTCTATTGATATTTTTAAAAGGCTAGGATTGAAACTTAATTCCAGAATAACAGGGTGATGACTTCATTATCATACATCACCATTTTTGACCAAAGGCTTATTCAGTGATATTAAATCCTCAAATTTCCATAGGATATTATGGATATCAAATTTGAATTCTTCAAGCAAAGCAGGAGATTTTAACCGTCCTTCTGGTGATTCTTGGATGGAAAGTCTCGGAAATGTAGCATGAAGAACCCTGGCTGTGCGAAGTTAGCCAGCTTATGGCATTTGTAGTCATCAGCACTGGAGTAGTAAGCAGCTGACAGATTTCAAGCCCTATGATACTAGAATTTACCCTGAGGCAGGAGAATGGAAACATTCTACCATTCTTTAATGTTAAAAATATGAGAATTTCTAATGTGGTATTTAAAACTATAACAAAATTACACACAAGAATCTTCATTAAATCCTTTTACCTTGGTTAAACAGTGATGATTTTTCAGGTACGTCTGTGGAGGCATCCCAATGCCAGAGGGATCCATCCTCAGAACAAGTAAATAGATGATCTGGGTTGGACGGGTGAAAGTGCACTTCCCACACTAAAAGATAAGAACCAAGAAGCTAATTCCTGTGCAGAAAAGTTGAACACACTTTAAGACCCTATCTCTAGGCATCATATTCCATTAACCTTCATCACACACCTTCAAACCCCAAGTCTGTGATAAAAATCAAAGGCTTCAGAATTAAAAGATATAAGTCTCCAAATGGCTATAACACATAGATAGGATAAAGAAGCCAAATAAATCTACTTGTGTATTGGGCCAGCAAGTGAATGAAAATAAATGCTACCAGAAGCTATAAAGAACTTATCAAACTCAACACCCAAAGAACAAATAATCCAATCAAGAAATGGGCAGAAGACATGAACAGACATTTCTGCAAAGAAGACATCCAAATGGCCAACAGACACATGGAAAGTGTTCAAGATCACTCGGCATCAGGAAAATACAAATCAAAACCTCAATGAGATACCACCTCACACCAGTCAGAATGGCTAAAATTAACAAGTCAGGAAACGACAGATGTTGGCGAGGATGTGGAGAAAGGGGAACCCTCCTACACTGTTGGTGGGAATGCAAGCTGGTGCAGCCAATCTGGAAAACAGTATGGAGGTTCCTCAAAAAGTTGAAAATAGAGCTACCCTACGACCCAGCAATTGCACTACTGGGGATTTACCCCAAAGATACAAATGGAGTGATCTGAAGGGGCACAAGCACCCCAATGTTTGTGGCAGCAATGTCCACAATAGCCAAACTATGGAAAGAGCCTAGATGTCCATCAACAGATGAATGGATAAAGAAGATGTGGTATATATATACAATGGAATATTATGCAGCTGTTTAAAAAAAAAATGAAATCTTGCCATTTGCAATGACGTGGATGGAACTAGAGGGTATTCTGCCGAGCAAAGTAAGTCAATCAGAGAAAGACAATTATCATATGATCTCACTGATGTGAGGAATTTGAGAAACAAGACAGAGGATCATAGGGAAAGGGAGGGAAAAATGAAACAAGACAAAACCAGAGAGGGAGATAAACGTAAGAGACTCTTAATCTTAGGAAACAAACTGAGGGTTGCTGGAATGGAGGGAGGTGGGAGGGATGGGGTGGCTGGGTGATGGACACTGGGGAGGGTATGTGCTATGGTGAGCACTGTGAATTGTGTAAGACTGATGAATCACAGACCTGTACCCCGAAACAAATAACACATTACATGTTAATTTAAAAAAAAGAAAATAAATGCTAATCATTTGACCTATTACATTTTTTTATGGAAGAATATGACAATGGGGTAATTCCTAAAATATGTACTTTTAAAATTTTATTTATGTATTTGTCAGAGAGAGCACACAAGCAGGGGGAGCAGCAGGCAGAGGGAGAAGCAGGCTGCCCACTGAGCAAGGAGCCTGATGCGGACTCGATCCCAGAACCCTGGGATTGTGACCTGCGCCGAAGGCAGATGCTTAACCAACTAAGCCACCCAGGTGTCCCTAAAATTTTTTTTTAAATTGTTAAGTTCTCTTATTTTCAATTCCTGTGTCATTAACATATGAAGAAAGGTTAGGTGTACCTGAGTGGCTCAGCTGGTTAAGACCTACCTTCAGCTCAGGTCATGATCCCAGGGTCCTGGGATTGAGCCCTGCTTCTCCTTCTCCCTCTGCCCCTCCCCACCGCTCATGTTGTCTCTCTCGCTCTGTTCTGCTCTCTCTCAAATAAATAAATAAAATCTTAAAAATATATATATATGAAGGTTATATTACTGGAAAAACAGAGAGAATACCATAAAAGTAACATACAAATGAATTTCTAAGCAGCAGTTCAATTTTGCTTCATGCCAGGCTTCTGGATACCTCTGGTATATATCACAGAAATAGCAACTAGCTCTTAGCAAACTAAAACCTATAAATGCTCCCAGAATCTGGACTCATTTTCACATGGAGGGCTTTTAAGAAGCCAGTGTAGGATTGAGGACCCTGCAAGTTCTAAACTTTAAGGTAACTTTGTATCAATAGACAAATGGGAGCCAACAACTGGCCAGGACGCCTTAGGAGGTTCTCTGCAGCACGCAAATCAAACAGGTAGTCTGTGAATAAGGGTTCTGTGATTCTGGACTAGAACCTTAAAGAGGCAGCATAGAAGGCGCCTGGGACATGGCATAAAAAGTATTAGAAGGTACATGCTTGCAACTGGGCAATTTTCATTCTGACAATTACCACAATTAAGCATCATGCCACAAAACATTAAAAGGTCATCTTTCTCAAGAGAACTTGTTCTGGGCAAATCCCTGTGTAAAATACATTCATACTGTTTCATTAAAAAAAGTGAAAGAAAATAGCCTCTAGAGCCATAAGCCTACTGTACAAACCTAGATTAAGTATTTATTTTCAGAGTAGAAAACAAACCTCTATACTAAAACATCTTATTTCATTTCTAGCCAAGAGTCAGAATGAATCAAAACAATACATTACGATCTGCTACATTTGTATGTATTGCTTGGCAATACAGGCTGGCAGTTAAGGGGGGCTGGAAGAAGAGATCTGAAAGTTTGTAATATTACTACCACTGGCTTAGCCAACATCAGATTCTATGAGGACATACCGTATTTTTTATTTTTTCCCCCCTGGGTACAGTTATAACTAGAAGAGGCAAAAAATTTCTATCCTTTTATTTGCTTATTAAATATAATCTTAAAAATCATTTATCTTTCCAAGGTAATAATGGAACTTAAAATCGAGATTACAATACTGGTATGTTTCTACTTCTGTACTTTTATTCAAGCAAAGCTTAACATAAACTTCTCTTAAGTCAGAATTTAAAACTATAATTTAGTCATGATATCAAAGATGGTGATAAAATGAAAAATTTCTGTCTAGTCAAAAAATCCCCCAAATCAAAAGATGAACAAAAAAGGGACAAGATCCTATATATACTGTTCCTATTTAAAAAAAAAAAAAAGGTACAATTCTTCTGTGAGGAACACACAGATTGGTAAATATTAACAATAGCCTGCATTTGCATGGGAAAAGGGCATCCTCTTATACAGAGTATGGCAATATAAACTGGTATTATTTTTATGTATAACAGTTTGATAACATGTATCACAGCTTTATGTTTTGGCTCACCAATTCTACTTCTAAAAAATTATCCTAAGAAGATAAGCCCATAAAGATGAACATATAAGGATAATCACTGTGGTTTTGGATAAAATAATGAAACATGTTGAAGAACTTGTCAAATAAAAAGGGATTAATTATTGCACATCTATATAATTCAGCCAAAAGCTACTGTAAAATGATCCGTATGTATGATTATGGAAAGCTGCTTACAGTACATCATACTACTAACCAACAAAAACTCATGTATCTCCACAGCACTTACTTTCAGCTTCATGAGCCTTCAGCAGAGACACAGGCATAGTGCCTTGTCTAACATCCCAAATACTCAGCATTCCATCCTGGCCACCAGTAGCTACAACATGCTGCTGGTTGGGATGTCTGTCAACACAGTGGAGGGGCACTCGGTCACCAGTCCTTTTATGGGAGATACAATGATATCAGACATTTGTGAAGTAGGATTTATCTTTGCATAATCCATGAAACATGTTTCACTCTAGAAACTAAATGATGACTTTGTGGCTGGAGCTACTAGCTGAACTTAAATTATGTCAAAAAATTGAGTGCATTAAATATATTTCTAAATATTAGAATTTTGCAATGAAATTAAAGCCAAAGTTATTCCCTCTTCAATTTGGAGACATAAGGAGCATGATAATCTGGTGGTAAGATATGCAAACATATTTCCATTTCTTGGTATTTTAAAAACATTATGTACAACTAAGCAGCATATTCTTTACTTTTACCTTATTTAATATTTTGTTTATATAATTACTTTTTCAGTTTGACACATTCTATATTCTTACTAGGGAAGAGAAAATCGCACACACAGAATGGGAATTTTTGCTCAGAAAAAAGATCTTGGGATTGTATTTTTTTTTTTTTTTAAGATTTTATTTATTTTTTGACAGAGAGGGAACACAAGCAGGGGGAGTGGGAGAGGGAGAAGCAGGCTTCCTGCTGAGCAGGGAGCCCGATGCGAGGCTCAATCCGAGGACCCTGGGATCATGACCTGAGCCGAAGGCTAACGACTGAGCCACCCAGGCGCTCCTCGGATTGTATTTTTCACCCAATCACATCTGGATTGCATTGTACCTACTATCAGTAGAATCACTTGCCGAGCAAAAATAAATTCCCCATTAAATAATATAAACTTCAAAGAGATAAAGGCTCTGAATCAATACGACAAATATTTACTAAATGCAGCACAGCAGTACCAAACCCATCAAATTACACTTGCTTTATCAAATTTAATCAGGGATCATTCTCTTCAAATGCAATTAAAATACAGTATGGTTTAAAGTCAGTTGCTATAAATAATCGAACAAATTAATTTTGCATTACGGTACTGAAATTACAAATGAAAACTTACAGTGATAATATCTGAGAGGGCTCATTTCCTTGTTTTCTGAAATCCCATATTTTTAATTGCCCAATTGAATTTACTGTAAGAATCTCAGGAGTTCGAAGGAAGGTTACAGCATGGAGTGTACTGCTATCTGCATTGTCTACAAATTAAGAAAACAGTAGTGTGTGTTAATAAGTCCTACTTTTCCACAAAATTCTTAAATTGCATTCCTTCTATTGATTGAAATATTACAAGTGAACTTTTAAATAAGTCAGTCTAATTTCTATAGAAAAATGCACGGTAATATATATGTTAAAATGGACTCTCCTTTGATAGAAATATATTACTTACAGAACATCTGTTTTCCAAACAGAGGGCAGAGTTTTCATATATTTCTCTATTTCCACCTAAGATTGTCACCCTCCAATGCTGATATAGCTATTCAAGTTCCTCCATATACAATTTTATATCTCCCACTAGTGCTTAACCCAGAACCTCCAAACCCCAGTGCTTCCCATAGAGCTCATTCCGAACTTGTATCATTTGGCTGACTCATCTCAAATCTATTCATCTTTAGGGTCGCCTGGTTGGCTCAGTTGGTAGAGCGTGCAACTCTTCATCTCAGGGCTGTAAGTTCAAGCCCTATGTTGGGTGTAGAGATTACTTAAAAATAAAATCTTAAGGGGTGCCTGGGTGGCTCAGTCAGTTAAGCATCTGCTTTTGGCTCAGGTCATGATCCCAGGGTCCTGGGATCAAGCCCTGCATCAGGCTCTGGGGTCAGTGGGGAGACTGCTTCTTCCTCTCTTTCTCCCCCCCGGCTGGTGCTCACTCTCTCTTATGCTCGCTCGCTCTCTCTCTCATGCTCCTCTCCCTCTCTCTCTCAGATAAATGAGTGGAATCTTAAAAAATAAATAAATTAATTAAATAAAGTAAAAAATCTTAAAAAAAAAAAAAATCCCTTCATCTTTAGCCTCATTAACTCTCTTCTCCATGAAGTCCTTCCAGACTGGTATATACTGGTCCTTTACCTTTTCCTAGAGTGTTTAAGTTATACCACATATTTTTTTTAAGATTTTATTTATTTATTTGACACAGAGAGAGAGATAGCGAGAGAGGGAACACAAGCAGGGGGAGTGGGAGAGGGAGAAGCAGGCTCCCAGCTGAGTAGGGAGCCCGATGCGGGGCTCGATCCCAGGACCCTGGGATCATGACCTGAGCCAAAGACAGACACTTAACTGACTGAGCCACCAGGTGCCCCTATACCACATAATTTAACATATACTTCTAAACTTTTGTGACAGTCCTCCAAACTCCAGGCAATGGTCCTTAACGGTTAAATAAGCGTTCTTCAGAACTAAAAAAAACTAACAAATACAAAAAACTGATTCATGGGCTGAATGCACAGAGGTTCTGATTCAGGAGGTCTAGGGTAGTGAGTTGTTAAAACTACTGTCAGGCTGGAAAGCATAGTTGAGAACTACTAGACTAGAATAATCCTTCTAAAGCATGACAGGGAGTTTATCATCCCCTTGCTCAAAAAGATTCAATGGTTTCTTAGTGGCCCAACTAACAAAATGTAACCTCTGTAGCTATGCATTAGACTCTTCACAACCTGGCCCCAATTTACTTCTCTTGCTTTATCTGTCACCTCTCCTACATAAGTATGGAAAACTACACTTTTTGTCATTCTCTAAATGGACGTATCCTGCCTCCATGTTATTCCCTTTGTTTGGTGTGCCATCATTTAGGATTATTTACGGTCTAGAACCTAGATTAAATCAATTGCCACTTGCTCCTCAATTCTTTATTTGATAATCTTCACCAGCCAAAAAAAAAAAAAAAACCCCAAACCCAAACCCAAAACAAACAAAAAAAAACCACCCCCTCAAAAAAAAACCCCGAAATAGTTTCTCCTGCATAGTCACTCATTCATACACGCCTTATCGACATATTGTCTTATAAAGGGATCCTACTCTGTATATTTTTACATCCCTCAAACACTTAGCATTGGGTCTGCTTAGCACATGGTAGGTGCTCAATTACTACGTGATAACAAAAGAAGTATGATTTTTCTTACCTATGGTTCTCACCGCCTCCTTGTGATCGACTCTGAAGAGATTGATCCGACCATCTTCTCCGACGGTGACAATTTCTGGGTTACTGCACACAATACCTGTGCACGGTGCACTGCCACAGGAAGGACTGCCCGGACCTGTGTGGTAGTGAGCGGCTGTCCACTGCTGGCTGACCGACAGAGTCTAGGAGTCAGAAATGAGAGTACGATGAATCAAAGCAAAGCCCTAAAAACTAGCACTTTTCCCTGAATGAAGAGTATTTTAAAATTCTGTCTCACACCCTCCTAGAGAAAGAATAACTCCCTCCTTTTTCCTTTGTATTTCTGGGCACTAAAGCCTAGAAACTACTTCCATCAAAGTTCTGTATACACTGGATTAGACTAAAAAAATGCTTTTCAATAATATCTCAAACTTATCTCAAAGAAATGGTTTAGGTATCAGATAGTTGTGTGTTCAAAAGCAACTCTAAATTCTTTTTTTTCTTTTTTAATAAGTTTCAAACATTTGAAAGAGACAGGCACAACGAGAGGGGGAACACAAGCAGGGGGAGTGGGAGAGGGAGAAGCAGGCTTCCCGCGGAGCAGGGAGCCCGATGTGGGGCTCGATCCCAGGACCCTGGGATCATGACCTGAGCCAAAGGCAGACGCTTAATGACTGAGCCACCCAGACGCTGCCCCGCTTTTTTTAAAGATGTTATTTATTTATTTGTCAGAGAGAGAGACAGCACGAGCATGCATGCAAGAGAGCACAAGCAGGGGGAGTGGCAGGCAGAGGGAGTAGCAAGCTCCCCGCTGAGCAAGGAGCCTGATGTGGGACTAGATCCCAGGACCCTGGGAAGAAGACTTGAGCCAAAGACACTTAACTGACTGAACCACCCAGGAGTCCCTAAAAGCAACTCTAAATTCTTTTTTTTTTTTTATTAAGGATTTTATTTATTTGACAGACAGACACAACGAGAGGGGGAACACAAGCAGGGGGAGTGGGAGAGGGAGAAGCAGGCCTCCTGCGGAGCAGGGAGCCCGATACGGGGCTCGATCCCAGGACCAGGACCCTGGGATCATGACCTGAGCTGAAGGAATTCGCTTAATGACTGAGCCACCCACATGCCCCACAACTCTAAATTCTTAAGGGAATTAGCCTACATCTAAGAAATAAATCTCTAGTGTTTTCTAACTGAAACCATTAAGAAAAATACGTAAGAAGATCTGGGTCTTATATTTACTAGGCATGTCTATTAGGAAGATGACCTTTATTAGCCTGAAAATCTAAATAAGCAATCTCTTCAAGCAACTTAAAACCGTTACTACAAATGGGGCTATTTTATTTATTTATTTTATTTATTCATTTATTTTTTTAAAGATTTTATTTATTTATTTGAGAGAGAGAATGAGAGAGAGCGAGTACATGATAGGGGGGAGGGTCAGAGGGAGAAGCAGACTCCCTGCCGAGCAGGGAGCCCGATGCGGGACTCGATCCCGGGACTCCAGGATCATGACCTGAGCCAAAGGCAGTCGCTTAACCAACTGAGCCACCCAGGCACCCCAAATGGGGCTATTTTAAAGAACTGCCCTACCATTATGAAGGTCAGCACTCAGGCTTTCAATACACAAGAAGGGCACTGAAAAAATGTCAAGTCTTCATATAGTGCATCCTCTTTTCTAATTAAAACCTAGGTTCTAGGGGCCCCTGGGTGGCTCAGTCGTTGAGTGTCTGCCTTTGGCTCAGGTCGTGATCCCAGGGTCCTGGGATAGAGCTCAGCATCGGGATCCCTGCTCAGCGGGAAGCCTGCTTCTCCCTCTCCCTCTGCAGCTCCCGCTGCTTGTGCTTGCTCTCTCTGTCAAATAAATAAGTAAAATTAAAAAATAAATAAATAAATAAAACCTAGGTTCTATCCACAGAAGCAAAGTAGCTGTCCCTGTTCTCTCTAATGATACCCAAGCTAGAAGGTGCTCTTTCTTTGAAAGATCAGAACAGTAACTTTTAAAAGAGAAAATTACAGGAAAATTACTTGCCAGAAAACCATATTGATAGCTCTGGACCAACAGAATTTAAGAGATATCTAATTTCAATAAAAGCTCACACAAACCTGGTTTGGGAATTAATCTACTGAAAGATAGGTAATATGGTATTTCCCCCTCCATATTTTGAGAGTATGAAACTTATTTGTGTCATTATTACATACAATCTAGTTTAGGCCTCCTTAAAAATAATTAAAATATAAATTCAGTTTTCAAGCAAAATTCTTTACCTGGTTATTCGGGTGGTGAAGGAAAACTGTTACACATCCTGTTGATGAAGCAGCTACAATTCTTTCCTGGTCAAAAAACTAAATAGAAAATTCTTGCTTGTTATGGATTCAGAAATATCGATAGGAAGGAAACCCATTTGTTTAACTCAATTAGTAGTACAACAATTTTAAAATGCAAAGAGCCTATAAAATGCTAAGCAAATAAAATGTGATGATGGATCTGAAAAGTCAAAACCACTACACAAATGAAAGGATTTTCATGAACAATAAATAAATTTTTTCCCCTCAACTCCTTCACCTAGAACTGGTTTAATTTTGGACTACCACCATAGAGGTTTAGAAAATAATCATTCTCAGGGTTAGGCAGCTTTCTATAGAAGAAAATGCAGGGACTTTGAAGTCCTACAGACCAGGATTTGAAAACTTAATTCTATTCCCCCCACTTTAATGGCTTTGAGACATTAACCAAGTTAAGTTCTCTAAGCCTTGGTAAACTTTTTAAAATGGAAGAACTAATCCCCACTTAGGGGGTTGTTATAAGAATTTATAAAGCAAAACCATGTATAGTGCCTTGCACAGTATTTGTCCCATGGTGACATATAACACCTGATTCACAAACACGTGATAAAAATATTAGACTTTTGTAAAGCCCCCCAAATGATGTTTGGCACACAGATGGCCAACTAATTAAACAAACAAACCAGGATTTTAAAAACTGTGATTAAATTCACATCCCCTTCCCCAGTTCTGATTCTGCCATTGAGTGGCTTTATAATTAATATTAGCCAATCATAACCTATAGAGAACTCAGTTTCCTGTAAACCCGGAATAAGACTAGACAAAATCTAAGGTCCTTTGCATCTCCAAATATATTAATCTCAGTTTTTAAAAAATTAGCTTTTGGAAGTTACACAGACTTACTTGTAAATCCATTACATCGCCATGGTGTCTGATATCACACAGTAACTGATGGTCTCCTTCAAACCCTCCATCAGAGTCCAAGTTCCCAAAATCTCCAATAGACCACAGTGAAACATAATTTTCCTGTAAAGCAGAAAGTTTTCTCTTGAGATGAAATATACATCAAACTCTTGAACATTAAAATCTGTATTGCCTTCAAGCAACCTTGCTTTGAAAGCATCTCAGATAAATGGAAGGTGATGGTTTAAAATACGAGATTCGAGGCTCAGGCACATCATCGATGGCTCTGAGGTACCGGACAACCGAACCTGAGATAGGAACTGGGGGACGGAGATGGCGAGAGGAGCTAGAAGGCGAGATGAGCTAGAAGGCGAGAGTTCGCGCGCAGACCCCCAGCGGCGCGGTTCTAGGAGAAAGGAAGCAGGAGCTTCCCGCCCGGGAGCAAAGGTACCTCATTGTCCCAAGATCCTGCAGCGAAGGTATCCGCGGTCTGCAGGCTCCCCGGAGGTACCGGTCGCCAGCGGGTTTTGCTGATTTTCTGAGACACAAACTTAGCATAAATATCCTCCATGGCAAAAGCAACCCCTACGGGTAGAGCAGGAAACACTGCGCGCGCCTCCGAGTCCCGCCCCTTCCCGCGGAGTCTGATTGGGCCGGACATTACAAGGCGGACGGTGGCTGCGGAGAGCCAATTCCCGTCCTCCGGCAATGCGGGTACCATCAACCCCCAAGCGGGAGGAAGTTGGAGGGTCCTTCCTTACCGAGGTGGCTCTGAACAGAGTCCTCAAAGTCAGTATGGGAACACTGAAACGGTGCATTTGTGCAATAATTGTGCAATGTAAGAAAAATTTAAGAGCAAAACCAAAACAAAATCAATGCAAGAGAAACCACCTAGTAGCTACACCCTAGCATTCAGTTTTGTATCTCAGCACCCATTGAAAATACTGAAAATCCTTCAATTCTTATAGAAGTACCTTCATTACTGCACAACCTTTATTCTAAAGGTCTCCCTCTTTGTCTCTCAAACAAATACTTTGCTTCCAAGTTGTTAATACACACTGTCAGAGCCTGGAGTTGGAATTCTAAAAACTCCAATTCTAGTTTTGACTGAACTGTCTAGCTATGTAACCTTCCTCAATTCATTTATGTATGTAATTAATGAGTTTGATATGTAACGTCGACAGCCTAGGAATTAGTGCTCTAGGTTCCTGCTTCTGTACTTTGAATTACCTACAATATCCTTTTATTCCTTTCTACTTCTTAGAATCCTTGTCATCCTTCAAGGACCAGTTCCTTCCCCTATCTTTTCCTGATTACTCCAGCCCATGATGATCTAAATAAGCATAGCACTTGACATCTAGACCAGAATAGTACTTATATTTTGCCCTCTGCTGCCTGTTTTCTTTTAATGCAGATCTCCCCAATAAGAATGTAAATCCTATTGCATACAGAAGGTATCATTGATTTTTTAAAAAAATCTCCTTTATAATACATTAATAACTGTGTGTTGGTTGTTTCTTTAAAAGGAGCCCTGATATCTTCTTTTTAACGGATATTGGTAGTCCTATTTCCCAGCCACAGCTTATGGAAGCACCACATGTAGATGCAATTCATCTAGGTCAGCTTTAGAGAGACTTACCAGGCTCTTGCTGAGAATAGACTGGTTTTGTTCTTTTAACTAGAATATTAGGAGACTGCAGAGATAAGATAGAAAACTAGTAGAGTCCCAAACGGACAATTTTATTTCTGATATTAAAGAACACTGAGGTGCTTCCTTAGGGCAGTAGGCAGTGCGTCAGTCACATAAAGAACACTTTTTTTGAGTGTGGTTTCATTTACGTCACAGAATCCCAGAAAACAGGTAATGTACAAGTGTATTTCGGAGGGGTAGTAGAGGCTGAGTGTTACATTTGACAAAATCTGACAAGAACTGGAATTTGAAAACCACTGCTCATGCAGTAGCGTAGAGGTCTTGACATTGCTTTGTTTCCTTTCTTAAAAGTTTATTGGACTAAATGATGACTGGATTTTGTCAGTCTCAGTTCTGATTAGGAGGCAGCAAGTTGGATGTGCCGGGCAATGTTCCCTGTCAGCTTCCCGAACTCATTGTCTTGCAGGGCTGGTAGCGATAAAGCTGGTGTCCAGTCTAACGGTGGAATTTGTGGGGATTAATTAGCTGAAAATGCACACTTTTGTTGGGAAAATAACACATTCTCCATTAGATACTGTGGTAATTTTAGCAGATTGCATTGTTTGCAGGAGCAAAGCATTCCCACGCTCCGCCGCCCCCCCCTCCCCGTTATGGTGTTCTTCCACTCTCTGAGTATGTGCTTTAGAGTTGAGAACAAACCAGGGTCCCAAAGTCTCTGCTAACCAAACACTGATGTACTTGTCACAAAGCCAGAGGCTCGAGTACTCGGGTGAGAGAGGGCCTTTGCCCTCCCGTTCTATTAAGATTATTCAGGCTCCACCATACGGAGCTCCGACTCGAACTGACCTAAATATTAGACAACTGGGTTGGGTGAGGAATAACGGAGGAAGCCCACCGTCTAACAATCTGGACAGCTATAGGAGCAGACCCGCGGCTCGCAGCAGCTGACTCAGCTGCGACTACGGAGCTACCGGCAGCGGCGTAACCGGATCGGGCAGACGCGGGGGCACGGATCGGTCCCGCCGTCGTGCCACCGCGCTCGGTGACCCAAGGCCGCAGCCAGGCACGCGACCGACCACGCCGGGGCCCACCCCGCCTGGCCGCAGGGCGAACTCAGCAAGTTGGCGGTGCGCAGCCCGAGTCCTCAGAGAGGGGGCACGCGGCGGCGGCGCTGACTCAGCCCGGGCTCCCAGCCCGTCCGCAGCTGCCGCAGCTGCCACAGGCGCAGGCGGTTGGGCACGCGGCCACCCCTGCCGGCGGCCCCACCCCGCCGCACCCGAGGCCGCGCAGCGTCACAGAGCGCATGCGTGCCGCGGGGTATGCCGGGAGCGCGCAGTGGCGGCACCGGCGGCGACAGCAGTCACAGCGGAGACTACAGCGGGGACGCGAGCGGGGCGGTGACCGTGTGGGAGGTGGTCTCACTCTTGGGGAAGCTGCTGGGCACCGTCGCCGCGCTGAAGGTGGTTCTGTACCTGCTCCGGGTGTGCTTAGCGATGGCCTGGAAATCCGGCGGCGCCAGCCACTCGGAGCTAATCCACAATCTCCGCAGTAAGTGCCACCCCCGCCCAATGTGGGGCAACTGGGCCAGGCTAGGCCTGGACTGGGTCTCCCTGGGCCGTCCGGAACGCTCTGTCTACGCCCCGGCCCCGTGCCGGCTGGAGGGTACGGTGCAGTGTTGCACCAGCAGTATCGAGCGGCGTGCGCTTGCTATCGCCTCCCCCGGGGACCTGTCACTCATCGGCGACGTGGACTGGAAGGGTAGAGAAAGAGCCACGGGTCGCTCTTGGTGAGGCAGGGGCAGGCGTCTCCCCACGGGCCTGGGGGAGGGGTTGCGGCACAGGTGGTGGGGCTGTCACTCGAGTCCGCTGCCTGCTCGTTCGGGTCTGGCGGGCGAGGGGCGTGCCCTCAGGGTGGGGAGATGTTGGCGGGGCCTAGAGGCTGGGCTGGATCTGAGGGGACCCCACCTTTGACCCCCGCGTCGTCTCGCTTTCCTTCTCCTTAATAATCGGCCTCACTGCAAGCATTCTCTCCGTCCTATACAGCCTCCCCCGCCCTCCGTTTTTTCCTCTGGAGGGAGATGCCACCGTCTGATACAGGCGAGGGGAGGGAGGGAAAGATGAGAGTATTGTCATTGCGGATGCTGGGAGAAATTTCTGGGGCGGCTGGCCAGTGGAAATCTTCGTGGGGGGCGGAGGAAGAAATAATCAGAGGATGCTGTTCCTGAGAGACTTGTGTTTCAGGGGCTTTTTAGAGGTCTTGGGATTCAACAAATGATTGTGTGTGTGGAATGTTCTAACTTTTTCAAGGCAGTTTCTTTATATCATTTTCTTTAGTTATTGTATTCCTTCCTTTTGTAATAATTTTAGGGTGGGGTGAGTGCTGTTACTTTCTTTTGTTAAATGGAGATACAGTGTTGCTGTCGGGTCGGGAGACCAGAAGGACCGCAGTCCGTAATACCTTCACTCTAGTCAGAATTTATAGCATTGTTTGCCACCAGCTTTGCAAATAATCGTATCCTGCCACGTGGTGTTTTTAATTGTCATATGTTATTTAGCTTTTCTTGTATTTGTCATGTTTCCTAATTCGATTTGTAACTTCCTTGAGGGCTAGGACTTTTTTTTTTATCTTTGAATTCTCTCAAACTTAATTCTCATTCCTTTTTTCATGAATGCAATTAAATATACATTATATGCTTGGATCTGTGCCAGAAATACCAAGATGAGTGAGAGAAATGGCACATGGTTAGTACGTAATATTAGTCATTTGACTTTTTTTTAATTACAGTATTTAAAAATTTTGTAATTGTATCCTTTGCATTTAGTAATGAAGAATGTTTAGATTTCAAAATTCTGTCAAGCATTGCCAATGTTCACTTTATGGAAGGGTATTTGAGTGGAAGTGGACATTTATATGCTGAGGCAGTATTTTTAAGTCTGATTTAGGTTCCCATGGATTACACATAAGCTCAATATGTTGTAAATATTTTAATAACATTTCTTAAAATGATCCAGTGCCTGCTCTCTTAGTGTACATATCCAAAACATTCTATGCACAAATTGTGACTAAGTAATTTTCCGCTGGTAAGTTATCACAGTAGACACTGGCCTGCGGCAGAAATTTGTAATCAGGCTCATAATGACTCTCCTTTTTGGGTCAAACTGGTAGTAAGTCAAGACTAGCTCTTTCCCCAGTGGTTTTATAACCATTTTATTGCAGGGTTATTATTCCTAGCTGAAATTTCTAAGGATGTTTTTCTGTCAGAAAATTTAATAACAAATGTTTAACATACATGGATGTCAATATTGCAAATATTTAGTCTTTACTGTATCTGTGATTTGAGTACTCAAATTGTTTAGCCTCTTGTAACACTTGTGCAATGTTAGTTTCAACTTCTTGCCGAATTCTAGCTAATAGATTTCATTTTTACTTATTAGTTTATTATAAAAGTAGTATTTTCTTGTGAGAATTTCAATTGGCACAAAATTGGAAAATTTCTCTCTTTTCCTAGTTATTCCACTGTTGTGTGTTCTTGAAGGCTTCTAGTTGAATCTTTAGAAAAAGATTAAAGCTTGATTATGTTGTTGAATCACTCTATTGTATATCTCAAACTAATATAACACTATACTGTTAACTATACTGAAATTAAAATGAAGAACTTAAAAAAATGTGCTATGTTGATGTTGAAGTGAAAAAGGATCTGCAAATTGGAAGAGGAAGCAAATTACAGTTGTATATTTTTATTTATTTATTTATTTATTTATTTTTAAAGATTTATTTATTCATTTGAGACACAGAGATACGGAGAGAGAGAGAGAGCATGAGCAGGGGGGAGACAGAGGGAGAGGGAGAAGCAGGCTCCCCGCCGAGCAGAAAGCCCGATGCGGGGCTCGATCCCAGGACCCTGGAATCACGACCCGAGCCGAAGGCAGACGCCCAACCATCTGAGCCACCCAGGCGCCCCTACAGTTGTATATTTTTAAAAGAAATGAAGTTCACGATTGCTTTAGTTTTAATATTATTATAATTTTATTGAAAATATCTACTGAGTTTTCCTTTTATAAGATGTCATAATAGAAATATGGTATATGATTTCATTGTTGATATATCATTTATGGAATATTGTAAAATGTAATGGTATGTCTCAGTATTTCATAGCTTATGATGACAAGCACTTTTTTTAAGATTTTATTGATTTATTTGAGAGAGAGAGAGAACACTTGTGTGAGCGAGAGAGAGAGAGAGAGAGGAGGAGCAGAGGGAGAAGGAGGAGCAGACTCACCATTGAGCCGGGAACCTGACATGGGACTCAATCCTAGGACCCTGGGATCATGACCTGAGCTGAAGGCAGATGCTTAACGGACTAAGCCACCCAGGTGCCCCAGCAACCACTCTTAAGTAACTTAGAACAGTGGTCTAAAACTTGAGCATGATTCAGAATCTCCTGGATCCCCTGGAGAGCTAGTTAAAACAGATTGCTGTGGCTCAAGAACTTGCATTTTTTTTTTTAAAGATTTTATCTATTTATTTGACAGAGAGAGAGAGGGCACAAGCAGGGGGAGTGGCAGGCAGAGGCAGAGGGAGAAGCAGGCTCCCCTCAGAGCAGGGGGAGCCTGATGTGGGACTCAATCCCAGGACCCCGGGCTCACGACCTGAGCCGAAGGCAGTCGCTTAACCAACTGGGCCACCCAGGCACCCCTGTATTTTTTTTAATAAATAAATTTATTTATTCTTTTTAAGTAGGCTCCACGCCCAATGTGAGGTTTGAACTTACAACCCTGAGATCAAGAGTCACATGCTCCACAGACTGAACTAGCCAGCTATCCTCAGGAGTTTGTATTTTTAACAAGTTCCTAAGTAATGCTGCAAGTGGTCTGGCCACCACTTTGAGAATCACTGATACAGAGAATTGAAAATTATGAGGTTAAACTCTACCAGTGTTTCAGCTGAATCAGTTTTATGCTTTAGAATAAAGTTTTAAGAAAAAAATGTAACAGTCCTATCCAATAGAGCTCTCTGTAATGTCTGTGTATCTGTCCTGCTCAATATGGTAGCCACTAGCTACATGTGGCATTCAGCATTTGAAATGTGCTTAACACAACTGAGGAACTGGATTTTCATTTATTTAACTTAAACAGCCACATGTGGCTAATGGCTACCATATTGGACAATGCAGGTCTATAGAAATGAAGAATATAGTTATTTTATAATTACAGGCTGATGATGTGCTCTTAAAACAAATTAACTTAAAACAACTATGAGCCTGCTTAATCCAGGAAATGTGACAATTTAAGTAAAGTTTATATTAGAATTTATTTTCTACTTTTATTGGAGTAATATCAAGCCATGGTAAAAGTTAGGAAAAGATAGGGGCAGGAGTAGATGAGGTTGAGAAAGGTGGTCTCCTAGAGCAGGGGTGTCTAAACCTGAGCATTTGTGGAAGGTTAACTCTTAACTGAGAGACTTCAAATGCTATACTGGCCACTTAAAACATTTTTTTTTTTTACCTATTTTTATTTGTTAGAAAAAATTCAATCCAGTGCTCTGATAATATCTGTTATTTTTACTTTGCATTCTTGATTGTGTCATTTTGCATATACTATAATGTTTACAGGATTTGTCAGTTAACTGATATTTAACTATCTTCTATATGCCAAACTGAACAAAACAAATACTCTCTTTTATAGATTACTTCTAATGGGAGCAGACAAGTATAATACCTAGTATGTCACATGATAAGTCACAAAGTAGGGAAGGAGATTTGGGAGTGTGGGGTACTAGGTTTGCAGTTGTGGGAGGGAAGGCCTCACTAAGGTGTCACTTGAGCAAAGAGTTGGTGGATGGGAAGAAATTCTAACTATGCAGATAGAGCCGGGGGACAGGCATTCCAAGCAGAAAAAATTGTATGTGCTAGACTTGGGGTGTGGGAGAAAGATTGGAGTCAAGGATATGAAAGCAAGGTTTTGGGCCTGGGCATTTAGAATGATTTGCTATTTTCTGAGTTGGAAACAATAAGTGAGTGAGCAGCAGGGACTTTTGGGTGGTGGGGAGGAGGTGTGCAAGGAGGTGTGGAGAGCACGAGTTTATTTTTGGGGATGTTGTATTTGAGATGCTTAGGAGACATTTCGGTGGAGACCTTGAGTAGGCATTTGAATAAGGATTATAATAATTTGTAGTTTTTGTATTCTTACTTATTTCTGCAAATAAATTGGAATTATTTTCTTATGCTATTTAGAGTGTCAGTTCTTAGCTACTAGTAGCGTGACTAGTGGAAAAGAGACCATTCCATTAGTTTTATTATATGTATTCATGGACCAAATATAACCAGCTAAGAAAATCCTAAGGGATTGTTTTCAGAAATTGGGACCTCATTTAGAGTCCAGTCCTCCTCATTTTGACTAGTTTCAAGTCAGTCTTATGGGTACATACTAATAGGTAAACTTACAATACATTGAGTAAGATCTAATTTATATGATGGGGGGGCTTTAATATCAGTATGTCTACTTAAATTTAAATCGATTAAAGTTAAATGAAATTTAAAATTCAGTTTC